TTCAAAGTGACAATGTTTACTTATATTTACGATTGTTTGCAGTGGTTTTAGAAATTTGAAGGTCGAAGAGTGTCAAAATATGCGATTCAGAAAAAAGGAACTTCTTAAGAAATTCTGAAGCTGTACAAGTCTTCAAGCACATTGCTACACCCGACACCTTCAGTCCATACCAATCAATCAGCTGCACTTTAAGATCAAAGAAGTATGCAATGTAAAAATCATAGAGTTTGCAATGTTTATTTGTTCGGAAAACCCGATTGTTAGTGAAGTTCGAGAGGTTGTACGCTTATCTTTATGACTATACACTCAATAACATGGAGAAAACGTTGTGCAGTGAGAACAATAAGTCCACTGGCCGAAATTGACGAACAGACCAATTGGTGTAGATTTCATATGTGAATTACTCATTTGGAGAGTGCTTCCTCAATCGTTCAATCTGAAATAATGGTATACTCTCACTACAAAAACCTTTAATAAACTGGAAAAAAATAAGTTCTATAAGATCCAACTATCCAGCATTAGCTTTAACGTTTGGATGTTAGCCGCATATCGATTAAACGTTTTAGATTCCAAAAATGCAAGAATAGAACACCTTGCACAAACAAAGCTTTGATTTACAAGAACTCGTTTTGATTTACAAGGGTTCGATTTACAAGAACGTGCCCTTTAATGAAAAACAAACAAAATTTTCCGAAACGATTGGATTTAGTCTGGTTGACATGGTGTTTAAATAGCGAGCATAGTGGGAAATGACCTCTAAATTCCGGTGCTGCTAAATTTTTCCCTAACAGTTATTATGGATCTAAGAGAAGAAAGTTATGCCACCAGATTGAAGCAGATCTGCAAACTCAATTGCCGAAGACACTTTCTATGATCTTTTCAACTTTCCTACTGTTAGGGATCGCGACTCGCGACTTGCGACTGCGTTCACCATATTCCACTCATCCGTTATGGTAACATACCTTTTTTTCTCAGAATTACTTATTATTTAGGGAAATGTTTTTCTCCGAATTGTCAAACAGACTAATTGTTGACGCATGCCCTCAGCGAGTTCTCGAGTAAGTGCTGACAAGATCTTTTTTGATAATAAATTGACAGTTGGGTTACGACAGCTTACCTCCTCGACCGTCAGAAACTTCTCAAAATCTCTGCTCTGCAAAGCATCATCCATGGTTCTTTCAAAACGACTTTTTGCTCTGTTCAAAGAAAAGAAGAAAATCCTTTTTTTGTAATTAAACTGAGCGCAAATACAAACCTCTGCGCTTCCACATAGTTCCGCTTTACAACAGCATCGTGTCTTTCTTTGAGCAGCTCGTGCAATGGAATTTCCCGGGAGCGGAACTTCTTCAAGCATTCTTCGATCTCAATGGCCATTTTGTATCTGAAGGATGTAAATTGTCGGAGAAGTTCATCTAGAAGTAGAAGTTTTTTGCTTAGGATTTCGTTCAAGGTTCTGCAACATTATAAAGCATACTCTTCATTCCATAATGCTTCCTCCAACTTTGTTTCAAGAAGACGGACCGTATTATTGAATTCAGACAGTTTTCTTCTAAACTGATACTTCTTTACGTTAGACTTCGTTGTAGGTTTTCCTCCTCCACCCATCTCGCACGACTCCCATATTTCTTGAAGAACACGCGCCTTTGTCCTTAATAACAAACTCATTGGCAAGAGATCTGAATTTATAGTTTTTATTTGTGCAGCACCCCATTCCACGCTCAATCAATCAACACCTTACTATTTCATATTTTAATCGTTGGAAAAATGGCGCTGAGGTTCTTTCAAGTCGTGTCAAGGTCCAGTGTAATTGAATCTGATAGTAATTTCTCTTAAATTGCTGATTTAAGCAGAAACCCAACGGATCGTGATAGTAAACAAAATCAATCCATTGCTAGTTTACCAGGTTGTGATGCGTTAAAGTCCAGCAGAAATATAAGTATACTGTTTTATTCTAGAAATCATCATCGGACATTTGAGATCACGTAAACTCATCTACATACTTCAACTCCTGTCTGGACCCAAAATATTCTGCTCACTATTTTACATCATTTGTATGTTTAATGCTTCATAGAATGATACATAAAGCGCAATGCCTTTTGAATTTTTCGCAAAACACTTTAGTTGCAGCCTCCGATATTATG